GCCGACTAACGAGAGGGAGAGCGAACGCGATTCCGCCACCGAGAAGAATCCAAGTGCCACCCTCGTGCGCGCGTCACGCCGCGTAGATGCGCCGTGGTGTGACAGGTGGAGGCTCGAGTGCATTCCAGGGTCTTAGGGCAGCGAAGACACGACGTGTCTAGTCGGGGAAATTTGGGGTTGATACCACGTCATACGTATAAGCCGCAGCTGTCAGCGGCTGGAAACGTGACTAGCATCCCAGCCGTACCAAGCCACCTTATTACCACCCTGCGCCTGGCTGCCTGTCCTCATTATCCCCTTAACGTTTTCTCCGGCCGATGGCTGCGCGAGGATGATCGCTTTCAAGAATTCAATCTGCCGCGTTTGCCTCCGCGTCCACCGCGCGGAGACGGACGGAGGAGTTATTGCGATCGGATCCCGAGGTAATCGGTGCTCGCGAATAATTAAATAAAAAGAAAAAAATTCCAAAGGAAGGGAAAAAATGCAAACGATCCGCCCGACCGACGCGGACGGCCCGGCTGCTAGTGGGGCTAGATCGGCTGAACTATAAAAATAGTTGGTTCGTCGTGAAATCTCGGACAATAACCGCGCGACGTGATAAATGGCGATGATTAATCGCGCATTTAACAGCGTGACGGCGATACAACCATACCGGAGTCGGTCAAGCTGGGGGTTTTAATCGGGAATCTATCTCTCTTTCTCACCGGGGCCGAGCGCCCCGTTTCCCTCTCTCTCTCTCTCTCGCGCGCGCGCGCGCGCGCGCGCAACCGCCACCGCCACCGCCCGGCGCTGCCGCTGTCGCTGCCGAGAGTGTCGCTCTTGATCTCTTCGATTGAGCGTGGCACGATCGCGTGTGCGCCCTTTTTATTTTTTTATTCGCCGCTCGCTCACATGCAGGCGCGTAAGAGCGTGTTGACACGCCATAAAACCGCTATCGGGAAATCCGTCGGCCGCAAAAACCACCCTTTCCGCATCGAGAAAGACCAACCCCCGTGTTCTCTCTCTCTCGCGCGCGCGCGCGCGCGCGCGCACACGCTTACGACGGGGTCGAGCCGGCTAATAAAAAAATAAACTGCCCTGTAACTCAATTTTACGCTGCCTTTGCGACCGCACGCATAAAAAGGACCTTTACTCGCGCGCGAGGGCTCTACCCTCCCTTTAAGGACGCCGCGCGCGCCTCCGTGTGTAAATATCTACTTTGTGATTGTTCCTCGAGCTGTTCTCTTTTTTTAGAACCTCCGGTCTTTTCCTTATCCGACCAGTGTCCAGTGTGCGATTCAGCGCGGCGAGGGAATGTATGCAACCGGGAACCTATTATATGCATCGACTGTCCCGCACGACGGTCGAGTTTTGTGCGGTTGCACGTCGCCTCCCTATCGGAGATTCTTCCGTACGAGGCGCTTACGACCTCGCGCGACTAAATTTACATGTTACTTGCCGGCAGCCGTAACGCCACATTTCTCCGTGCGCGAGCGCGCGCGTCTCGAAATAGTCATTTATTTTTCGCCGTTTAATTTAATCGGCACGTCGTTGCGAGACGCATTACGTCAGGCACAACGCGAACTTGTCCCGCGGCGAAGAGAGGAGAGAGTCTTCCTCCGGAGTCTCCCTCTTTTACCTTCGACGGAGCAATGATCGATCGCTGATGAGGAGAAAGCGCCGCGTGCGCGCGCGCGAGAACCGGAAGAGATTTTTGTTTTCCCTTTAATATCAATTAAACAACACAACCGCGCGAGTCCGACTCAATTGACAATCTAGAGCATCGAATTCGGGTATTACCGTCAATGAACGCTCTCATTTCGGTATTAATTGGCTTGCGCGCGCGCGCGCACGTATGTTCATCCGTTACACGTGAATACCCAATTGCGCTGATTAACGACCTTTGACGGCGAGTTAATAATTAGCGCGGCCCCGACGGCCGCTCAATTCGCCCCGATTATCTTCACGACGACGACGACGGCGACCAGTTTTTTTTTTTTTTTTTTTTTTTTCTTTTTTCGCGACCAGCCGGGAAGTCTCGGCGCGTGTCGCGCGAAATAAAACAATCCCGGTGTTTATATACACGTCTACCCCTTCCGCGCGGAGCCCTCACGTGAAATGGCTACAAAATAACACAATTACAACGCGACCACGGGCTCACCCTCGGTGACCGGCGCTCGTCCTCGTTCTCACCCCTTGATTCCGCTCTTTTCTCTCTTCCCTCCGACTCACGCTGCTCCATTACAGCACGCTGCAGGGAAAAAGAAACGAAAGGGAGGGTTCGCGCGCTGGAGAGAAGAGGAGAGGATAAGATCCGAGGGCGAGAGAGAGGCAGAGCGAGAGAGAGAGAGCGAGAGAGAGAGAGAGAGAGAGAGAGAGAGAGAGAGAGAGAGAGAGAGAGAGAGAGAGAGAGAGATACGGCGATGGAGGGACAGAGAGGAAGCGAGTGCGAAAGCGACGGGCGGCAGAGGGAAGAAAGGATGAAGGCAGGTCTGACCGACTCGTTACAAGACTATTCAGACATCCGGAAAGAACAGCGCGTGCCGGTATTCATTTTGTTGACCGGAACCATTATCTGCCCCTTCGCTCCTTTTTGCCTGTCTTTCTCTCTGTCTCTCTCTCTCTCTCTCTCTCTCTCTCTCTCTCTCTCCTCTCTCTCTCTCTTACTCTCTCGCTCCACCTACCTCCCTCACTTTTTCCTTCCCATCCCTGAGCTTAGCCAGCGACGTGGCCGTTTTAAAACCTTATGGCTAATTTATTAATCCTAGCAGGGCAACCGCTCGCCCTCGGTTATCCGGTGGACCTTTTTTACCCGGCGCTAATTAAAAACCAGGAAGCCGCGGCGATCTTCCCACGAAATAAAAATAACTGTCGATTCTCTGTCCTTTGCTCGCGTGCGGGACTTCCGCAAGATTTGCCGTGATCATCTCCTCGCCCGTCGCGGCTCTCCTCCGCCCCGGCGTCGGCCGCGAAACATTCGTCGGTGTCTCGCCGCGATGTTTACTTCTGCTCCGACGAAAATCGAGCACTTTTCAACTTTAATCTTCGCGAAACTTTGATTTCAAAACAGAATTAATCCGCCCGAGTTTCTTCCCGGGGAATTACGCGGGGCTTCAGACAATCCTGACAGCATGTGCGCGCCGTCGTTCAACTTCGGAACTCGGAGAGCGTCGTGGCCCGCAAATAAAGCATGCCGCTAATGACGTCACGTATCGTAATCCAATTTATGGCTGGGTGGCTGGGCGGCAGCCGCCACCCGTCTTAAGAAAAAGGCGAGCACCTAAGTAGGGATCGACTTTCTTTCTCCATCCTGGCCGTCGGTTCTCGCTCTTGTGGAACGCGAAATGACGACCTGATGAAGTTTCTCGGCGCCACGGCGGTCGATTGGAGAGCCCTGGCGTAGTTGGCTAGGGGATCAGACCCGACCGGAGGATTAGTACACGACAAAGTTTATAAAAGTACGCTCACTTCAGGAGAACCAACCCCCCCCACCCTCTCCGTCGAACTAACCTAAAGCTGGCCTCCCCTTAAGGGGCTCCCGCGCGGAATCCCTTTCCGAATCCTCTGACATACGTGACAAACCTACCTATGATTCGTCCCAGCCATCATGTGTGAACTCGCAATAATGTCCGGCATCTCAAACTGGCATCGAAGCTGCGAAGCGGGGAGGTGTCTCCTCCTCCCGCGGCTCGAGAGGCTGGAGTCTGAAAGTCTGCAAGAAATTCGCTCGTATTATTACCAGGAATATGCCTGAGTATTCGTTATTCATTCGCGGCATCCTTTGCTCGCATCGCATACACTCATTTATTGATATCGTTATACCGGTCTTTGCGCTCTTACATGTCACGTGTGACAAACTCTATACAAGGTGTGTAAAGATTCAGCGATTGTAAATAAATGATCATCGCGGAGCCTCCCCTCCCCCTCCCCCCCCCCTCCCGGTCGCATAAATAAGCTCTCGAGGCAGCTTTCAACGCGTCGTCCGATTCGAAGGATTATTGGGCATCCGTCTTTCCGTCACACTATCGTTCGCGATTGAAATAAAGAGAACCCTAAAGAGGCTCGAAGGGGCCTCGTATTAACCGATTGGTACTTCTCGGCTACCTGCGGTGCACTGGAAACCTGTAATTGTCTGGTCACGCGAGGTCGCCCCGGGAGTACGAACGCGATCATACGTGACGTGCGCTATACCCGCCATTAAGTTACGGTTTAGCGCACGACAGATGGTACAATCGGTCGTTCGGGCATGCTCGTCTGGCAGCGTGGCCGTAGTTTCGTGTTTAGCGTCGTAAGAACAAAGGGAAGTTGAGAAAGTTTCGAAAAAATTCAGAAATTGCCGAGGCGGATTGCGTCCGCTGATGCAGACGTACCTCGAACTGCCTGCGGTAAGGATTGCGCCAACGTCGGGCGAGACGAAACAACATGCGACCGAGCGTCGTACGCGTTCCTCGCCTCGCCTCGCAAATATCCGATTCGATAGCGAGCGAGACCCTCGGGCGGATACCGCTCGACGACGAGTGGAAATGGTTTTTACATGTTATCCGCCCCCCCCCCTCCCTCCCTCCTCTACTCCGCTGGTCCCTCGGAAAATATCGATGACGAGTAATGAGCGATAAGAGGGGAAAGAAGGCAAGACGAGATGCGACAACGACGCGTGTAACGCGCGGATTAATTAATGTACAGATACGGGAAACGAGATATCGCGCAGGAACTTTCTTTCTCTCCCGGTCGACTGGAAGTTTCGTCCTGTCGCATGGGAACGGGGCATCTATCCGTTCTTTGTTTCGCGGACAGTTGTAGGCCGGCCACATACCCCGTGCTAATCCCGACGGCTTAGTCACGGGACGGAGAAATCCCAGAGGCTATTCACAAATGCGTAACTCGTGCGACGAGATCCAGCCCGACCGCACGCGAGGCGATTTCCACCCTTCTGGAGCCTGGTCCTTTCAACTTTCACTCGGGACCTCTCGCCAGGATTGGGGAAACTCATCCTGAAAAATGCCATTAAATAGCGTGCACGCGCCCGAGGAAGCCGTGCAAGTTTCTTCAAGTTCCTCGCCCGAGATATCACGAAAGCCTGTTACAGGCTTTCACACACGAAATATTCATCGCGAATTATCGTTCTTCTCTTTTTCGCCACTTGCGCCGCAGGACGGGACGAGCGAAATGAATGCTGCCGCAGGATTCCAGACGCGAATATTTCGCTAACGAGCCTTTACGTCCAGCGTCTTTCTTGTTCCGCTCTAAGGGACATAAACGAGCGACGCTGTATGTTCCGCGGTTTACAGTGCGACGTGTGATCGTTATTAAATTGATCGTAATGAAACGATCGCGAGCAAGATTTTTACGCGAAATGAACGAACGTCTCTCGTTGAGCGCTCAGCGCCCGCAGAGTGAGTTCTTCTCGCCCAGACGTGTTCAACGTTCTCTGCGAGGGATAAGGTATACGCCGCGATATATTGGCAAACGGGGAGCAAACTATATTCTGCCGCGCGAATGTGCAGAATGAAACTACGCGGCGATGTCGGACACGTCGGCTGTCAGCCATTCAATAGTTAATTTCCATTCAACTGCTCGCGCGTCGCTGGCGGTGCTGTGCGAGCGCATACCGGAGTGCCACATTATTATTTTTCACATACTTTTCAGTTCACGCGCATTTTTACGTATCTTCCAAAGTTGCATTTTTCTAACGTCCCGTCGTTCTCTCCACGCGTTATTTGTACGAGCTCGTGCAGTGGCAGCGAGATCTGCTGGAAAATTTGCTCGGAGAGACAACTTTCGGACGAGCGGCGATCGACGCTTATCTAGCAGCTGCTTAATATCTATCATTGACTGCGCTGCCAATAGCAAGCAATTTATTTGCAAGGTTACATTCTGCTGTATGATATTGTTGGAAAAAATTGTTGTTTCGCCAATAAAATGCCGGCACAAGCTCGTCGTCCAGAGCACCAGATTTATATTTCGCGAGGCCGTATCGCGTTACGCGCCGAGCGCGTCTTCGCTCACGAAATATCGACTCACGGGCGTGTACGAGTGATGGATAGCAATGGGGGAGGGGGGGAGAGTGTGAATTGGCCGCGAGTGCAAGATTATGAAACCAAAATGCGCAATAACAACGCATTAATGCGAATTAAGCCGATGCCGCATTCCGGCCGACACGTTCCGCGTCGCGACGAGCAACGCTCGTCGGCAGTGTGTAAATATCCAATTTATTCAGAATTACAGCCCGCTTGTATCGAGATCATCAATTTTCGCCGGCAGAAATAACGCGACGCAGCGAGGCAGCGCGATGACGCCGCGCGCTCGGTATCGCCGCGCTGTGTAATCAATGTCGAAACGTAATGAGCTTAAAGCGGCACCGCAGCTCTCCGCGGCGCGTTTTCAGCACTGCGAAGATTCAAGGCCCGCCAACGTCATTCGACGTTGGTGGCAACGCGACTAATTAAGCTTTTCCTTTGACGTAAAGAAAAAGAAAAAAAAAAGTTAACCGCGGGCGTCGTTGCATCCCAGTTCGACACAATTTGCGCTGTTTTCGGCTCGCAAATGTCGTTTCGTACCGAGCGTCCGGCTGTAAAAATGTCCGCTGCTTTCTGTTTACCCTCCAGGCAATTGCCCGGCTCTGCAATCGCGAAATCACCGATCTTTCAAAATCTTTTAAATATTATTTCATAAACCCTGAAAGGATCCAGAAGGATACGAAACGAGCGAAACCCGTCTGCGCGATCCGACCGCGCGCGCGAGTCCTCCACGACAATTGAGTGAATTAACTCGCGCTCAAGTCCGCGGCGTAATTCTTTCTTTACCACTTGTCGCGACGGTATTTCCGTGCGCAGCTTAATCGACTCTCGAGTCCAGCTCGAGGCGAGGCTCAGGCTTAGCCGGCGGAAGCCCGAGCTAAAAACTAGCCCGCCCGCACGTCGTATCTCGTGAATATCTTAAGCGGCACTTAATGGACTAACATCTGGCTGTGCGTGGCCGTTTGATTTGTTGCAGAGGGCAACAAGTGCCCGACCCCAGGCTGCACGGGGCAGGGTCACGTGACCGGACTCTACTCTCACCATCGCAGGTAAGCAATTATCGGTAATTAACCTGCGCTCCGCCACTCAGCCACGGCCGATTACACACCTACGCGATTTTACCCGGAGAGAATCGAGCGGGCTCGTTGCGCGGGAAACCGACGTCAATGGGCCAATTCGCGGCCTGTGCATGTCGGATCCTGTGCAACGCGCTGCGGAACGAGAGATCAGCGTGTGTGTGTGTGTGTGTGTGTGTGTGTGTATGTGTGTGTGCCTTACGATAACGAGAACGAGGAAACGTTTAGTTCGACCGTAGAGTTGCCGCGACACGATGCAATTCTTAAAAGAAAGAAACAGAGAGGCCGAGAGCAGAGCCTGCAATCTGCGGCCTTAAACGTTCTGCTAATCGGTTGTCGGTGTGTTCGCAGTCTTTCCGGATGCCCACAAAAGGATAAACTGACGCCAGAGAGTGAGTACCTCTTCATTAAGCCAATTACTTCTTATCGTAGCTACATAGTGCATCTTCTTTTTGCGAGAGTGCCTTTTTCTCACGACGCGGCGAGGAAGTCGGGGTGCGAATCGTCGACGAGAAGAATTTCTCTTCATGACTGATAACGCAATTGCGCAATTGAAGAGTACATGTCGCAAAGTCGCAGCAAAATTCTTCAAACGCAGACGTGTTTTCAAACGACGAGTATCCGCTCGAAAAAATTCCATCTCTCAAGTATTGTTTAAAGTAATTTCATAGGAATATCTTTGTATATCTTCGTTCGGTGTTCTCCACCGAATTTTTCGAGTCTCTCGCGTGCAGTCGCACGTGATCGTGAAAACTTGAAGATCGTATTCTTCGAATAACACTCGTAATAGCCTGCAATTGAATTCGCTCTCCTTCCGAGAAGCATTCGCGATCGGGCTCGTCGATCGTTCGCGAGAGTGCGAGAGGAAGAGAGAAAGAGAAGGGGGGAGGGGCGGGGAGAAAGAGGGAGAAAAAGAGAGAGAGAGAGAGAGAGAGAGAGAGAGAGAGAGTGAAAGAGAAAGAGAGAAAGAGTATTGTTCGCCGCGGCTTCCTCGCCTCATTAAACGCAACAGAAGTGTATCTTCGATACACGAGAGATCAAATTGGAAAGGGGAAAAAAAATATTTTCTTTTTCTCCAATGACGAGAGAGCGCGGTGCACGCGGTTACGCGTGTGTGCGTGTGCGTATGCGTGTGTCTGTATATATCTGTCTGTTGTATTCTTTGCGCTTTTCGTTTGCGGGGTAGAGAGCTTTATTTATTGGGTTATACTCTTCCGTTTTAATTTCTACCGTTCTGTTTGTAGTTCATTATAGTAGAGAATTATCACTACACTCGAACTTGGTTGTGTTGGGTCGTGCCTACGAACCCTCTGGAGAACTCGAGACACGGGCGGCGCGACGAGCCGGCGTATGCGCACACGCCGGACATTTCACACGGAGGACACTTGTGCGATTGAGTATAATTACGCAACGATCGGCCGTATGATCGATGCCGAGCTTCTCATCTCGACGTTACTCGACTTTCTCCACAGCGACGGAGATAGCCGGTCCCCCCTCCCCGTTAACGACGTTAATTCAGCGGTTGCGCAGAGGTAGATACGCGTAAGCCACCTGCGTAGATATCACGGTCGCATAATTTTCCTTTCCACTTATGGTAAGCTTCTTGCCCTCCTCTCTCTCTCTCTCTCTCTCTCTTTATCTATTTCCTTCATCTCCGTCCATCTCCGTCTCCTTCACGGAGGAGCGTAGAAATCTTCTGAAAGCCATCGAAATCGATTCTGCAGTTCGTTCCGGACGCGACGGAGAGACGTTCTCAGCGACGCGGCACACTTCTCCCCCGCCCCGCCCCCCCCTCCCCTCACACAGATTTTGCGAATTGTTGTGTTATAGTTTTCTATCGATTGATTGATTGTCTTTACTTGTGTTTCTCTCTACCCGCTCAGTATACTTGGTTGTACTGTTACACGTTGATTTGCGTTCCGTGGTGTGGCAAGGGGACGACGTTGTGTACTTCAACCCCCTACACTCTGGCTACGTCCTACGTTTTTCGTCTCCTCCCCTCGGGCGCGCATCACATTTCATGTACAATTTCTCTCTCTCTCTCTCTCTCTCCCTCTCTCTCCCTCTCCCTCTTGCTCTCCCTGTCATTCTCTTTTCCTATTTCTATTCAACCCTCGACTCATTCGCTCGCCACCCGTCGAGATCGGAAAGAACGACTCGTCCAGAGTTAAAGATCCCGCGGCCCCCCCCCGTTCGGACTTTCGAACCCTTCCAGAGATAATTATACTCAACGCATCAAGACGCTTCGGCACCGTCCGCCGCGTGCGTGTGCGCCGTGTCTCCCTGATTGTGTGTACGTAACAAGACGTGAGAACGTGCCAAGACGTGTCTGTAACCACGCCGCGTGTCTCTGGGTTCTCGCAGTTCTGGCGATGCATGAGACTATATTGAAATGCCCGACGCCTGGTTGCAACGGTCGCGGCCATGTCAGCTCCAATCGGAACACGCACAGGAGCCTGTCCGGATGTCCCATCGCCGCGGCCAATAAGCAGGCCGCACGCGACGCACGACACAAGGCTCAAGGTAAGGCGGCACAGGTCACCCACGTCCCGTGTGTGCGTCCGGGTTGACGATAGACGGGCTGGACACGAAAATCCCCTCGCGCTGCCCGAGATGAGATTAACGCTTGAGACCGCTAGAGACCGGAGTAGAAGCTGTGTAATCTTGCGCGCAAGACACGCATCTTGTTCTTCGGGGTGCTCTCTCCCGCGACTCGCCCGCCAGTGAATGTATTGGACTGAAAATTATCACTCACCGAGGGGGGTAATACAAGACACTTGCATCTGCTCCTCAGAATCAGAGAAGTATCTTTTGACCTGTCGAAAACAGTCTCGCCCTCCCCCCCCCCCCCCCCCCCGTAGATTCACTGTTGACTCGAAGGCTCAGGATATAACATCAGTGACTCAAGTCGAAGTCGCCTTCGCTCCGCGAAAGCGAGTTTCCAAATCTACGGCTTTTCGCAGAACGAACGTGAGATTATCGCGCGAAGCATCGAGTCTCCAGCAGTTGCACACGAGCAACATAGCAAAAGTATCGATCTGGCTGATTGTTGGTGGTTGAAGGGTGTTGCGTCAACAATTCTTAATCGTAATAGTTGCGTTGTCGCGAAGATTTCTCCAATTTCGTCCTTTTGAACCGAGTCACTGAGGTGTCTTACCACGATCGACAGCTGCATGTTACTTGATATGGGACTAGCGAGCGTAACGATGCTTCTTAGTAGAAGAGAGTAGCATTTGATTTAACACGACCGTTGACCCGCACTGATGACACCCTTGGAGTTTGCGAAAGAAAAGCCCCGCGTCTCACGCGCATCTCGCCCATGCGTGCGATTAAACACGCGACTTCCCGCGACAGTGCCGGGAATACCGCCGGAGTACATCAGCACGAATCTCCTACCGCCATCGATGGACACGAAGAGCTATTCGCAGTACGGCTCGACGACGCAGGACACGAAGCCGGTGCTGAGCAGCTTGACCTACGACTACTACTCGACGACGAAGAACACCGGGCTCAGCGTGAAGCCGGCGAAGACGCCGGAGGAGAACAGCACGACGCGACCCACCAAGGTGCCCAAAACGGAGAACATGACTCTCAGCAGCAGTTGCTGCAACAGCCTGTCCACGAGGAACCAGAACACGGGCGAGCTGCTGGTCCCGAAGACGGAGGACACCGCGTCCTGCCGCGTCAACTCGCCGCCACCTCCGCCGCCGCCCGCGGTGCGGCAGACGTACGATTCCTACATGAGCCAAGACTCCAACTCCTCGTCCATGTCGTCCATGGACGCGATGGGCTCGAGACAGTCCATAGGCGCGACGATCCACCATCCCAGTCAGCATCCGACACACCATGTCCTCCCGATGCAACCGGTCGCCTATCCGATGCCGATGGTGGAGGACACCAGGATGAGTCATCAAATGTCGCAACGATCACCGTACGAGCCGACCGCGATGATGGCCGCGGCGGCCGCCGCGGCTGCAGCTGCGACCACCACGGAGGACCTCTACCACCACAGATCGACCGAACACGCGAGAGCATACATGCACCCAGGCGCGAGCAACATCGCGCGACCAGTAGTCACGTATTCCAATGACATAACTGCCGGCAGAGGCTATGAGAACGCGGTGGTGAGCGCGGCTAATCATCGACCTTATGACCCTGGTACCACCGCGACCTACGAGAGATACGACGCGCAGTCGTGCGTGCCCATCCCGTCGCAGCAACAGCAGCAGCAACAGCAACAGCAGCAGCAACAGCAACAGCAACAGCAGCAGCAGCAGCAGCAGCAACAGCAACAGCAGCAGCAACAGCTGCACTCGAGGGCGAATATGTATTACCTGGGCCAGACCGGTATGACGCCGGAGGAGCAAGAGCGAGTTTACCACCAAGAGGCAGCGGCGGCCGCGCAACAGCATCAAATGGCGATGGCCGCCGCTACCGCGGCCGGAATGATGAAGACCGAAGATGGTAACTTGTTCGAAATCATCCCCCCGGGTGCTCAAGATTCGGCCGTGACTAAACGTTGCGTCTCTGTGGATGTTGCAGTGAAGTGTGTTACGGTCGCGCAGGTGCAGCAGATGCAGAAGCCCGGTGGACCGCCCACCTCGCCTGGGGGATCGGTGATGGACTTATCTACCTCCAGTGTTACCTCCACCAGTCCACAGGTGAGTCGGAACGGCTTCATCTCTCATAAACGCGCGCGCGCGCACCAGAAAGAGGGAGGGAGAGAGAGAGAGAGAGAGAGAGAGAGAGAGAGAGAGAGAGAGAGAAAGGAAGAAGGAGCATTTAGGATTTTTATCAATGACGACGCGGTTCGCAGGCACCACCCTACGGCTCGAACAGCCTCAGCCCGCAGTATGGAGGAGGACAAACGGTGGGAAGCAGCCCTCAAGCCGCAGCGAGTCCCCACTTGACGGCTAGTCCTCAAGTCCCTAGTCCTCAGGGCCAGACTCTGGACCTCAGCGTCAACAGACTTCACAGGTAGGCGATATCTCTCATTATTGATGACAATTAATGACGATGAAACTCTAGCGCGATTTCTAAGTGTGACTTACAAAGCGAGTCATCGTTTGATGACGCACGATGACTGCCACGCTAATTTCCATTGATCACTTCAATGTTCAGCTAAAATTTGGAGACACCAAAGAGACACGGTAAATACATGCATTTCTCACAATGTGTATATTCAGTAGTTTATCTTATTAACCTCCTATTGGCTGTATAATTTAACTGTATCACATATATAATTAATTAGGCTTCACGCGTAAATATTAACGCAGCGATGTCTTAACGTCGGTGACAGTCAACGTGTCAAGTTTGGTAAAGACTCATCAGAAATTCGAATTCTAAAAGATAAGAAAGCAAGCCAAGACACGACTTGACGAATGTAGACATTACATAAGATTCTAACGTAGCCTGTTAAAACCTCTACAGGGTGCGTCTGAGCGATACGAGATCCTCGGAAGATCACCTGAACTTAAATTACAGCTTCCAGATAGACACATATTGCCTCTATTGCAGTGGTGCGCCCAGCCCGCAGTATTCCACCGGCCACGGTGAAGCCGTGGCGGTTCCGGTGGGTCCAGGTTTCCCAGCGCCACGACCGATCGAGGAGCAGACCGAGCCGGTTGATTTCTCAACGGCGAACGAGCCAGTCAATTTCAGCGGAGGCCCGGGGATCAGGCCTGTTCCCGGGTTTCCGCCGCCCGGGGTGCACGTGACGGCGTATAGTCGCGAGAGCACACCCGACAGCGGGGGTTCCCACTACATGGACGCCTACCGAGAGCCCACTAGTGAGTTATCATCGTTTATCGGATAACTACGCGGGCGGCCTACGATCGGGGCGCGTTCTAAACGGCGCTTTGTGAGCCGCGACCGTTCTTTTGTTCCTTGCGGAATTATCAAGTGAGTCGCGAAATTCTCCTCCGAAAATATTATAGAATAGCAAAATTGCCAAAATAGCATCGCGGCGCGCAGAGACATTTGTCCGCGCGAAAATCGCGGCTTTTCCTCATCTCGAAACTTTCGCCGAAAATTTCGACGTCTCGCGGAATAATTGGAGAATTCGCCGCGGGGGATTTTCAGCGGCAGGGGGGAGGTGGAGTTTCGACGTAGGATAATTCGCCGATGGCGAAGATGGGACACAGTGCAAAAAAATACACGGGTCTCGGTGGGGCAGGGCGCGACAGCGTGTCCTTAACGCTATAAATTTTACTCGGTACACGCGGCGGGAGACACACGCGAAGCGTTAATGTGTCCTTACACGGGCGTCGTGTAACGTCAGGCGCTAGCGGGGGCGACGAGGAGGAGGCGCGTGGACGAGGGATTCGGAAGAGAACAAAGAGCCCGACGCCCCCGGGGGTCGGCAAGGGTGGCGAGGGACGTAGGTGGGCGTAGGGGACGATACGCGGTTACAACCGTCGAATAAAAATTCACCAGAACAGTACATGGACTGCTATAATAGGCACCTATGGCCGAACTCTCATTTTCCTCGGTCTCTCTGTACCTTGGCATTCCAAACCCGCGGCCCATCTCTCCCTCCCATCCCTTCGTTCTCGTTTGTTCTCTCTTTCTCCCTCCGATCGTTCCTCGTTTTCTCCGCTTCTCTCTCTCTCTCTCTCTCTCTCTCTCTCTCTCTCTCTCTCTCTCTCTCGCTCTCTCGCTCTCTCTTTTCCTCTATCCTTCAGCCTGAATGTGCACCGTGCGCACCCTTCCCGTCGAACCACCCCCTGTGACGGTACACGGCCATTGTTAATTATCAATATTTCGCGTACACGTAGCGCCGGCAAAAGTCCGGCGCGGCCGATATTGTGCAGACTCTGACGCTGGGGAGTAGTTATTGAAATTGAAACATTCGAGCACACACAGCGCCGTGTTCCCCGGCCTCGACACACACACACACAGAGGCCCGCTGTGTTCACGCGACGTCGAGCGCGCGAGCGCACAGAGTCGGCCTTCCATCCGTCGGCTATTTGCACTGCGTGCTCTCTCGACAAAATGAATTCTTGCCAGTAAATAAACGTGTAGATTTTACAACAGTTAATCAAGCAGCGGGCTGCTCCTGCACCGCGGCTGTGTTCGCGCTATTTCCGCGTCTGCCGTTCGGCAGAGAGCGCGATTACATGACACGCGTGTGCGCGTATTCGCGCGGAGTGTCCCAGAAATCGTGCCTTTTTTTTCCCTCGATCGTCAGCTCAAACTCGAGTTAATATTTTTGGCTTCCTCGTGGCGCATCCCGACCGATAACCGATGATATCGATCTCACTCTCTCTCTTTCTCTCTCTCTCTCTCTCTCTCTCTCTCTCTCTCTCTCTCTCTCTCTCTCTCTCTGGTCATTTATAATTCATCGAAGAGAATCGGCAGATTTGACGAATTGTTAAAAATCACAATCTTCTTTACCAATACGTTCCGAGTGTGTTGAATTTTACCAGATCATTCAGCTATTTAATTTCCAGAATATTAAATATTCCGAAAAGATTTAATATTAAAAGTTGAAGGACGTCGTGGGGGTGATGAAAAAAAAGTTTCTTGACGAGAAATATTTTTCTCAAATTTAACCAAAAATATGTTAACCCGAGGGGACCTCGGGTAAGGCAATGTTGTAGGAGCGAAAATGAAAAATGCATCACTTTCTTCTCGTCTCAACGAGAATTTATCGGTACGACAGTTACGTGATTTGCGTAATCTTTCTTGCGTCAGATTACGGGCCGATGAGTCCTCACCCAGGATACGGGATGACCGGCGTTCAACCCGAGTATCCCGGAAACACGTACACCGCTTACCCCACTGCAGGTTACAACTGTGGCGGAACTTACCCGGGTGGCCCGGTGACTTCCGGTTATCAGATTCCAGCGGGTTACACCCCGGCACCGTGCTACAGCATGCCGCCCCCGCAACACACGGTTGGAGCCCTCGATAAACCGTCCGGCAAG